TATATATATATATATATATATATATATTAGAAATCAATAATAAAGCTCCCAAACGAAACCTTAATCTCAAACTTACTCACACATCCATATTTATTAGGCCTGAAATTCAAGATCTTATGATTGTAGCAGAAATAACCATCAATTAGATCAAAATTGGCCAAATGTTATGCTCAACAAATAATTTTTTTTTTGTTCCTCCATCATCATATCTTTTGTTCTCTTATCTTGCTTATTAAGAGGTCATTAACTTCCTCTTTAAAAACATGAAACATGCATGAAATTTAAGAAAATAATCAAATAAACAATTGCATCATATTTAAACCAATATTTTTTAATCAATTGATTGAGAGTTATAACTTTTCTCCTTTGTTCCTCCATCATCATATCTTTTGTTCTCTTATCTTGCTTATTAAGAGGTCATTAACTTCCTCTTTAAAAACATGAAACATGCATGAAATTTAAGAAAATAATCAAATAAACAATTGCATCATATTTAAACCAATATTTTTTAATCAATTGATTGAGAGTTATAACTTTTCTCCACATAGACTGAAAATAGAGAAAAAATGTATACAATATGAACAAAAATAATCAATTATAAAATATAAAATAAAGTGTTAACAAAATTTAAATTTATTCAATTAATCTATAAATAATGAGAAACAACAAGAAAATAGCAGCCACATCAAATTGTGATTGTCAGTAAAAAGTTATGACAAATAGACTATTAAATATAAAAAATGAGAGGTCATATTATATAAATTATAGCACAAATGAATTTAATGGACAACAATTTCATAGTTTTACTTAAGTTAAATTAAAAATACATATTGAACGTTAATTATTAATTATTAGTGCAATGCTTTGAGCTTCATTCGAAAATGAGCACAATCTCAACATGAACTCTTAAATTGCAATTGATACTATGAAATTAGATTTTAGTTGAAAATATGAATTGAATTTTGAATCAATTTAATTTAGGGTCGTTTGGGGTGGCTACAGCTTTTTATAAAGTCGGTTGTAAAACTGCAATGGAGAAAATAACTTTTAAAAAAGCTACAGTAAAAGAAAAGATTCATAGCATAAGATTCCTTTTTAAAGTCTTAGAAAAATAGTGGTCAAACAGAAATTATGATCGTGGCCTGAAAACAAAGCAGCAAGAAAGTTATCTCAAATGAGAGATTATTACGTGCGGTGTTCGGACACAACATTTCGTCGGACTCCAATTACGTGAAGACATTTGTATTTTCTTTCTTTTGTACACACCCTGTGTACAAGAGACAAAAAATAAATCCAAATGCCTTCATGTGAGTGGAGTCCGAAGGGCATTCAAACTTCCCACTTAATAAATTTTCTCCAAATGAAGCCTTAATGTGAAATCTTTAACCTACTTATAAGAGCTAAATATAATGTTTTAAACATAAATTTATCCAATTTCAATTATATATTTTTTTTTGCTCTTTCTTAAATATAAAATTGCTTTACATTAATTTTTAATTTGTTGAGAATTATAATAAAAAATCACCTTGATAAGCTGAATTTTATCCAAACATATATAAGGTTTTATCAATATTTTAATTTAATTATAAAATATTTGAAAATTATAATAACTTTTTTACTTCAACCGACATCAATCATACGTTTACTCTACGGCGCGCTATTTTGTCGATCTAACCGCCCCTCGCACAAAATTCGCTGGTTGGATTTCTTGCTCATTAAAACCGTAGTCGACACCACCTCGACCACCATGTCGAACGCCGTAGCCGCCGGCGGAGACGGTGGAACGCCGCCGCCATTCCATCCCTACCGTCTGGCTCGAACCCTAACCGCACACACACGCGCCGTATCCTGCGTCAAATTCTCTAACGACGGCCGTCTGCTCGCCTCTGCCTCCCTCGACAAAACGGTTATCATCTGGTCCTCTTCATCCCTCTCCCTCCTCGCCAATCTCTCCGGCCACTCAGAGGGTATCTCCGATCTCGCTTGGTCCTCCGATTCTCACTACGTCTGCTCAGCATCCGACGATCGCACCCTTCGCATCTGGGACGTCCGATCCCCAACCTTTGAATGCGTCAAGGTCCTCCGCGGTCACTCCTCCTTCGTCTTCTGCGTGAACTTTAACCCACAGTCAAATCGGATCGTATCGGGCTCCTTTGATCAGACGATTCGGCTCTGGGATGTGAAGACGGGGCGGTGCGTGAGAGAAATAGAGGCACACGATTTACCCGTGACATGCGCGCATTTCAATAAGGATGGATCGCTTATTGTGTCGGGAAGTCATGATGGGACTTGCAAGATTTGGGATGTGGATAAGGGGACTTGCCTCAAGGTTTTGATAGATGATAAGGGTGGACCAGCGGTTTCTTTTGCCAAGTTCTCACCTAATGGAAAGTTTATACTCATCTCCACATTGGACAGTACCCTGGTATGTGAAAACCCTCAAGTGCTATATCCTTTTGAATGTATGAGCTCCATTACGCTATATTTGTTTTCGACGACTCAACTTTTAAGCTGCTTTTATACGCATAGTTATAGTTATTGTTTGGATTAAGAAGAGCTGAGAAATTCAGCATACACGAAATTTGAAACCATACTTTTTAATCTTAAATTTTAGGTTGTCTAAGATGATAAGGGGCCGTTTGTTGGCGGTAAAGCCATCATTTTGTTAATAATTTAACCCCCGCAAAGTGAATATTGTTTATTTTTCTGCTCTTTATTTGTAGCAGGTATATGAAGAGAAGGTGCTTTGAGATAATTGTATTTTTTTTTATTTTACCTTGAGCGAAGCCCAGAAAAATTCAGCACAGTCCTAGTTGCACCAATTTTACAGAAAAGCTACCCCTAGGGTTCTTGGCCAGTGTCATATGGGGGGCAAATTATTGGGTCAGGTGACCGAACGCAGAGATAGGTCCGGATATTAATAAAATATTATTTTAAAATTAGCGCAACTAAAGCGCAAGTCAAAAAGCGCAACTAAAGCGCAAGTCAAAAAGCGCAACTAAAGCGCAGGTCTAGCGCAACTAAAGCGCAGGTAAAGCGCAACTAAAGCGCAAGTCAAAAAGCGCAACTAAAGCGCAGGTAAAGCGCAACCAAAGCGCAACTAAAGCGCAAGGTGACGCGGCAAATTTTTATTGGATGTTCGAACTTATTTTTCGCCTCCGGTCACCTGACCCAATAATTTGCCCATATGGGGATACTTTAAAAACGACTGGTATTCATATCCACTTTATTGTCTAAATTTGCTTTTTAAAAAAAAAATTAGGGCAACCTTCCCTTCCATTCTTTCTATTTAGTCTACGTTAGCCTTGCTTTTAGTAGTGGTTAACTCTCATGGTGGATCATGTCTTGCCTACTTAATGTTGTCATTGTGGTGTATATGGAGGGTGAAAGAACTCACTATAGATGGATGTGTGGTAAAACTAAGAAGGATAGATTGCAAAATGGTCATATTAGAGGGACAGTGGCGATTATATCTGTTGAGAATAAGCTAGTAGAAAAATAAATTTTGGTTGCTAAGGTGTATAAAACGTAGGACAGAGGATGCACTAAAAGATGCGTGGATAAGATCAAAGTTGCAGGATTAAGAAAAGAGAATGAGCAGATTGAAGAGAACATGAATAGAAATTGTGTAAAAAAAAAAAGGCACAAAATAGATACAACATGTCATGCGTCACTCAGCAACAACAAATGATGAAAGGGGATTCATAAACAAAACTAAATAGTTGGGATATGACCAATAATGATGAGAAGACCTTTTAAATAATGTTTTCTTTGATGGTGTTGTGGTAATGGTTATCTTTATTTAGAAACCAAGCTGTAAGCTGAGAATTATTTCATTGAAAACTGCCAATAACTTTTGCATATAGAAAGCAATGGTTATCTTTATTTATTTATTTATGATGCTTATATCATCTTCAATGTTCAATTACAACTTTGTTTTTAAAAACAAAGTAGTTTAGAAAGAACATATAATCTGATGCTCCTCTCAAAGGATTTGGTTTTATGCTTTTTCTGACTAATTTTGGGTATGTTTGGTACAAATTTCTTACAGTTTTTTTTTTCAGACTGCGACCACAATTTTTATTTGACTACTATTTTTTTTCTATGCTTTTAAGAAATTTTTATGCTAAGAAGTGATTTTTTACAACAGTTTTAAAAAAAATTATTTTCCTTACAACAACTTTATGTTAGACCGGTCCAGTGGACCGGTCCAGCCAGTCCGCACGGGACCGGTCGAGTCGCGAAACAGGCGACTGGTTTCGCCTGGGCGGAAGCTGCACGCCGCCGATTCAGCCGCACGCCCGAATAGGAAGGTTTTTGAATGGATTTTAGGAGGGAAATTGATTGTAGGGATTGTTTAGGGAATTCCTTTTGAATTGTATGCATTAAATAGTAGATTTTCCTAGGGTTTGAGCATCTTGAATTTGGCTGAAATTTGAGATCTCGTAGATTTAGGTTTTCTTTGGGCTCTAGCGGCGTCTAGAGATTTGGGAGAGATCGATCCTCCTCTCGAATTGAGGATCAATTGTATCTTTGCTATTTTCCTTGCAACTACTAGAAAAATACAAGTCTTTTCTCTGATTTTTCTGCAGTTTTTCCCTGCTTTCCTACTGTTTTTGGCTGTTTTTCTGCTGTGGACAGCAGTTTTACATTGGATCTACTTGGTTTTGGTGAGAAACACTTGCAAATCCAAGTGTTTCCTATCACTTAACAATTATTTTTATAAAATGTTGCAACCATCCCAAATATGTTACTTGTTTTCAAGGATGAAATTATGGTTGAATATATTGTTTGATAGTTTTAATGAAGATACCTTTTAACCACACATCTATCTAAAGTGTACCTATTGATCCGTCATCATCAGCTAGACATCACTTCATATTAGCATAAATTGAAATTTTCCAATTGGTTGGAGCAACTCCATTCAAGGAAGTTAACTTTGAGCATTCGATCAACTTCTTTTCTCACAATATTTTTTATAAATTTGATGTATTAAATCGTATGATCTTCAGACAATGGCCTCGCTTTCAAAAGTATCAAAATATACAAATTCATCAATCGACATATAATCGATTGGCAATATTCATCAATTTACAACCCAATGGTGAATGTCTTGGTGGAAGCCTTCAACAACACCAATCGAGCTACCCAAGATGATCCTCACTAAGAACAAGAGATAATGTCCTACCAAAATGATAGAAGATTTATGGGCATATCGTACTACCTATAAAATGCCAAAAAAAAAGTCAAGTTTTATAGTGTTTTGAGCAAAACCAGTGCTGCCACTTAAGGTTGAGTTGTCATCAATTTGAGTAATTATGGTTCAGTATAACCTGACCCAAGAATGAAATGCTCGCTTGCAAATAGAAGAGCTTAATACACTCGATCAAGTTAGACTTTAAGCTCAAAAAAATTTAGAATTCTATCGGACAGGGTTGTCAAGATTCTTTAATTATATATTGCGTCATCGAACATTTCAAGAAGATGAATTGGTTATAGTGTTAGGAAAGTTATCATCCTTCATCGAAGCATTATTGGGAAATTTGAGTATAATTATGAATGCTTTTTCATCACTAAGAAGGTATATTTAGGAGCTTATGAACTCATCAACCTGAATGGTCAAAGTCCCATGCCACTAATCAATGACCAGCATTTGAAGAAATATTATATATAGCAATTTGCTTAATAAATCATTATGCTTAAAGCCTTGTAAAGTTTTTATATATGTAAGTATGTATGTCAAATTTTCTTGAAATTCTCTTATAATATAAGAAAGCCTTTCAAGTTTATTATTAAAATTTCCTTGCAAGGGGCATTTTTTAGCTTTTTAATAGTTAAAGTTTATTCGAGTTCCCACTGTATAATAGGGTGCACTACTTTTAAAGTTTTTATAGTCAAAGGCTGTTGAAATCCCCTGTAAGGCAAGGGAAATTTTAAATATTTATTTAAGTTGATATCGTGCTTTACGTCGAGATCCACATATACATGTTTAAAATTATTGAGAGTAAGCTTTACCTGATCAAATGAGCGCAGAGAGATGATATTCTTTTAACAAGCATATAAAAGTTAATTTTCAAAAGTTCGAGGTAATGTTTCTTTGAAACCCAATGTAAAGATCAAAGAAACTTATCTTCTTTAACAACACGACAAAGCACTAAATAAATGATCGAAAATATTATCCGAAAGTTTATTCAAAACTTGAGGCTAAATTGAGGGAACTTCGTTGTCAATCAGTCCAGAAATCATCAAGTATCAAGTTGACGAGTCTCTTCCATCGATCTAACATAGGGTTTAAATGAGCCGCGCCGGCTGGAACTCGACTCGTTAATGAGTTCATGAGCCAAGCTTATCTATCCACGAGCTCGACTCAAGCTTGTTTATTAAACGAGTTTGATTTCAAGCTTGATGAGGCTCAGCTCATGAGCTCACAAACTGGCATGAATCGCTATTACTATTTTTAGATAATTATTATTTTATTAAATTTGATTATTTTAAAAATAATAATAATTGATCTACAGCATAATAAATGCAACTTTAAAAAATATATATAATATTAATTTTATATTCTTAACTTATAGCTTTTAATTGAAAAAGACAAAAAGAAGCTGCTTTATAATAAATGTGCACCAGTTTTTTTTCAAGTATGTTCTAAAAAAATAATAAAAATAGACGGATCCCTTTGCTGGGCGTGCGGAAGAAGATTAGGAATTCTGGATACAGGCGGAAGGTGGACTGGACTACGAGCGAGTCGTGATCTCGATTACAGTGCTACGATCCTTGCTCGAGCTTGAGATTTGGCTAGTGAATCGAGCTCGATTTAGGTCTGACTTGAGCTCAACTCGACTCGTTTACACCTCTAATCTAACATAAGTCTCGAAAGCCTTATCAATGGCATATACACTTTGTCAAGTTCACCGCACAAAGCATATAGGATAAAAGGGGCCCCAAAATCAATTCTTAAATCACAAATCTAGTTCTTCATCATTTAACTGTAAAGCAGTGGTAAATTTTAAATCTTATACCAAACTACTGCTATTATATGTTAAATGCTTAGTGCTTATTTAATAATAAGCCTTAATCAGAAGTTTTCTCTTATTATCAGGGTCAGGGGGTAATTAACTACATGGACTTACGCCTATGAGAAACATGAAATTTAATTATATAATCATCATAAAATGAGGAAAAAATATATGGTAGTTAGGGGTGTCAAAATGAATTTTTGGGTTGGATTCAAGTCTGACCTGAAATCTACTTGATTTGAACCCATCTAATCAGAACCTAACCCATTTAATTAATGAATCAAAATCCTAGACTCAAGCTTGAACCATCGGCAACCCATTTAATTCGACCCAACCTGCCAACCCGTTTATGTAAAATAATTATTTTAATGTGGCTCCTTTGAATGCTGAAATGTGCATGTATGGGTTATTTTGATTGTTGAAATGCATATGATCTGAAATATATAATTAAATTTTGTGTTTGTAGGTCAAATATGGATTGATTTTGGGTTGGGGTCAACCTGAATTCGACCGGGTATTTAAATGGGTAAAAAAAAAAGAATTTGAACTTGACCCATTTATCAAATGGGTCGACTCGAATTCAAAGTTTTAGATCGGGTCTATATTAACATCCCCATTGGTAATGTCTTAACTTAAAAACATAAAGGTTGCGGTGTGAATTTTTGGAGTCCACAATCATTTATCAAAGAGTTTAATGCGACTCATGCGAAAGCACTCCAAGAGATCAAATCAAAACCTATAAAGATCCTACTTGTTTTTCATTTTTGTATATAGAATATCTTGTAATAGATTAAGAAAATGAGGTTGGTTAAATCACACACACTCTAAAGAACATATATTAGCCTGGAGTTTCACAAAACCAAAGTTTCCTAAAAAATCCATTTTTTTTTTATCTTACAAATGATTTTTGTAATTGCATGTACGATAGATTTGTCACACATATAATTAAAATCTGTTTATATTGTGAACTATTAAAATTCCACATTATATTTCCAATATTTTCTTACTCTCTCATATTTGCTAAATTTATTTATTTGCATTCCTTATAACACAAACATTCCATGCATGTAGTCATAGCCTTGAGAGTATTGTTTGTCAGTTTATTACTTTCACTTGGTAGAGTACCTTTTTATTTCCAATGTCAAATGGTCTTAAATGGCAGTTGTCTATTTTGTGTAGTGCAAGTAATTAAGGTTTTTATATTAAACTTTTAAACCGTGACAGTAGCTTTAGTTCTCGTGGGAGACATGAGATCTTCTCAACTAAAAGCTTCTGTAAGCACCTACATATGGATCTTACATCACTGGTTTTTTGAGTTGCTATTTAATTTTTGACTCAGATCCTTCTAAATTTTAGCCCTTTGCTTATTTGAGACCAAAAGAAAAAATCAAGGTTATCATCTAGTTCTCAAAAGAAAAAATCTAGGTTATCATCTATTCAACCTTACATTTTTCTTTTCAAACATAATGACTACTTTATCAATCTTTTAATCATTAGCTTTCTTAGTAGAATTGTTCTAAGCACCTTTACTTAGTTGTGTCAATATTTGACCCGACCTGAAAACCCGAACCCGACCCGAAAATTTCGGGTTCGGGTTAGGGATTTAAACCCTTTTGTAAAACCAGGTCGTGTTCGGGTTGAACCGGAAATCCGAAATCAATCCGGTTTGACCGGTTTTTAATTAATTTAGGAGGGTTTTAAAAGATTGTTATGAAATAAGTAAATGATATTTCTAAAAAATAATAAACATTGTTGCCCAAATTAAATTAAGCTTGATTTATTTTAAATTGATTGGAGTAAATCTTACCTTAATTTGATTTATGTTTAAATAAATCGAATTAAATAAAAAAAATTTAGTGAAGCATGGCCGAAACGGATCGGGTTTGGGTTCGAGAAACCAACCTGTTTGCAAAAAAGGGTCGGGTTCTGGTCGGGTCGAACAGTGTCGGGTCAGTTTCTGGTTGGACCTAAACCTGACTCGTGACTTGATTTTGACAGCCCTAGGTCGAATCTAATACATCTGCTTTCCTAGCAGAATCATTAAAAGGTTGACTTTATATGTGATCAAATCATCTAAAACAATTCTCTCTAATATTATCTGCCACTGGAGCTACTCTAACCTTTTCACGTATATACATGTTTCATATTTTGTCTCTAAGTGTAAAGTCACTCACCCAACTAAGCATCCTCATCTCTACAATACGTAACTTAATTTTATGCTTCTCTTTTAATGGCCAATATTCTGTGCCATAAAATATTGCAAGTCTCACCGCCATCTTATAAAAATTTCCCTTATGTTTGAGGGGTACTTTTCTAGCACACAACATACCCGATGCATTTCTTTACTTCGACCATCCAACTTGAATTCTACTAATAATATCCTCATCTATTTTACCATTGTTTTGAACAATAGACTTTAGATTTCTAAAACATGCACTTATTTTTAAGTATTTGATCATCCACTGTCACAATCCCATCACTAGATCTATTATTACTAAAATTATACTTCATGAATAGAAAATTAATGTGTACACTAAAAAAGATTGCAAGAAACTAGAATTCACACTTTGTGTAGCACTAAATGAGAATTAATGGAGAACAAGCTTTGATAAAGCTAGTTCTAAATAGTTAGTTGGGGCTTGTGATGATGATGTTGGAAAAAAAAAAATTTATCACGATATCTTGATACAAATTGTATTATGGTGGACTTAAAAATTGCATTTATTTTAAGATTAGTGCTATATATAAAAAAAATATTTATTGCAATATGCTCAACGTAAATCTAATGGCTTTCAAGTCCATCTTGATATAATTTGTATCAAGATATCCATGATGGCATGCATTCTAATATATCAGATATTTATGTGAGCGTTGATGGTTTCTATTTGTCATCCCATTGCAGAAACTATCAAATTATGCTGCTGGGAAATTTCTCAAAGTTTACACAGGGCATGTTAACAAAGTATACTGTATCACATCAACATTTTCTGTTACAAGTGGCAAGTACATTGTGAGTGGATCAGAAGATAAGTTTGTGTATATTTGGGACCTCCAAGGCAAAAATATCATCCAGAAATTGGAAGGTCATAAAGATACTGTTATATCGGTATCATGCCACCCTACTGAGAATAAAATTGCCTCAGCTGGCCTAGATAATGATAGAACGGTCAAGATCTGGATTCAAGGTGCTGCTTGAAGCATTATTTGTTGATAAAGGTAGCGACTCCTTTTATTTTTTATTCATAATCTTCTTATGGAACACCGAGCTTGCTTCATTAGTCAAAACCGTATGTTTTTCCTTGTTTATTGTTCTTGAGTTGTCATTGATGATGGTTTGCATGATTTTGTTATGATATTATCTCCAATGTCATTATTATTTGCAGTTTCTGGTTCAAATTGTCTTCAATTTATGTGGATATTTGTGAAGGCAAACTCAAGCTTGCATTCGGCTTATACAACAGCTGACCTTCCGTGTAGTTTAAATCCTAAAGAAAGCGTTCACAGGAGGAATTTCTACAGCATGTAAGTGTACCTCTATGTTAGATGAACGCCTTGATTATGTCTTCTTGTTGGTTATTTAGCTGATTTTCAAGCCTGAACAGATTCCTGTTATCTGAGAGTACAAAGCTGAAACATTTGTAGATTTATATTTTTCCTAGTGAAGAAGCTCTTTTGTTGTTAAAAGTTATCTTGAAAATATCTTTTTTTACATGCATACTTATATTGCAAAGCAACTTCAATCACACATGTTAATTCACGCAGTTTGGCTTTATTTTGTTTCTTGAATTTTAGCCTGTGAAAAAATGAGTTGATTTTGAATTTGAATAGTCTTTATGTGTGAAGATAACCTAAATTTATAAAAGATAAATACCATTTAGCAACTAGGAAGAAGAACCTCACAATGTTTTATGCTCTGCATGATGCCTCCCAACACATGGAGGGAGCCTACAATAGGTTGCCTTTCTTGAAGAGTCTTTTAGTGGGGGAGTAGAGTTTTAAGTTTTAGCATGACCTGCTTGCATTAGATACGTCCCAAAAAAAAATTAAGCACTGGTATGGTCTTTCAATGTTTGAAGCATAATTTATAACTTTTAAGTTATTGACACTAGTTTAGTGTCAAGTTTGTTGCGCGTGAGCTTTTTTGGCTTGAGAGTTGATTACTTCTAATCAAGAGGGACAATAAACTAAAAAAGGGCTTGGAATATTGAAAATCTTGAATAAGTAAAACCCTAATGTTCATTTTAAAATATGATTACATTCATATCGATTTGTATATTGAGAAAATATTTGATGTTTTCTTGTATGAAGAAAAAAGAATATAAAAAAAAAATAAAATAAAAAAATTAAAAAAAAAAGAATATTTTTTCCAGTAATCATTTGAGCAAACCGTATTTAATTCCAGGAAGTTGATGTGTATAATAATTAGTATTTTATTTTTTTCCATCAAAACTACATTTCCTAGGTAATATTTTTTTGTCCCTCATGTATGTATTTGGCTTTGGTCAGCTTCTTTGTTTCTTTGATCTCCATTTTTTTTGTGTCTAATCCCATTTGCCTCGATGACTGTTTGATAGATGTCGCCTTAGGGTTGAGCAGCGCATTTTGTGTAAGCCACCTTTGGGGGTAAGTATGGTGATTCCAACAAACAGTCTTTGTATTTAAGCAGTACCTTTAGTTCTTTGACCCCATGTTTAAAATTGAGTATTTGGGTATTGAGGCGTTTTTCGTTTGTGAGGCGACGCGTAAGTCTCAAGGCATTTTGAGACGTAAGCTTCAAAATCAAAAAATTACGTAAACAGAAAATGATAAATTTTGTATATAGTAATGAGTAAATAATATATAAAACATAAAAATGCACAATATATGAAGTAAAATCAAAATATCCCAATAATAAAACAACATAAAATATAGTTCAACTCATACTCCATTTTTCCAAAATCACAGTATTCTTTTCATTAACATATAAGAGTTATTTTGAGCGGTACCGGAACAAAATTTTATTGTAAGAATTATTTTTAGCAGTACCGAGCGGTATTGGCTCGGTACCGAGCAGGTACCTAGTGGTACCGATCATGTACTGCTCAATACCGAGCATGTACTACTCAGTACCGAGCATATACCTGCTCGGTACCAAGCGGTGCTGGCTCGGTACCGAGCATTTACCTAGTGGTACTGAGCATGTACTGCTCAGTACCGAGCATAATTTTTAGAGGCGGACGCCTCTCAACCGTGAAGCGAGGCGCGCCTCAGTAAACTTGAGGCGTACGCCTCAAATTTTGAACTCATTGCGTAAGCTTTGAGGCTTCATCTAAACCTGTCCTCTGTTCTTTATCTGGATTATTGACATTATCATTTATTGTCATTCTCATCCAAACAATAGACTGAAGTGCATCTGCCTTCAGAAACGCACTCCTCTGTTCTTTATCTGAAGTCTATGGACAGTTCTAACAAGGGTAGTGTCTTATCTACAAACCTATCTGCCTTCCCAAAATTTACCCCGGAACTTAATTCTGTTAAAACTCCCTCCCCCGAAAGAAAAGCAACAAGCGGGCGGAGGCAGGGACCGAATTTTCGGAGCCCACAAATGTCAATTTGGTCCCTCTCTCAGGACAATTGACTAGGCCACACTAGCTGATATCACGATTGCTCCTACAAATGAATTTTTGTATTTTAACTGGTCATTGTAGATTAATCCACTAGACTATCAATGATTTCCGATATGATTGCTTCTTTATATCGTTTAGGGTTTAGGATGGCATCAGAAGATTGATTGTTGTAAAACGGATTCTTTTTTGATAATTGATTTTAATGCAGATCATAGATTTCTTAGTAAAAGAGCTTCAACTCCTTTTTTTGCAAATTACTGATTACTGTGGCTATAACAACTGGAGGAGAGCCTATTCCTTCTTATGCTTTATTTTACTATTAGAACTGTCTATAGACTTCACTTCAGTAGCTTAATTTCCCTGGAACATAACATATTGGATAATAATTAGCATGCGCTAGACATGATCTGAAGCTTTAAAGTGAAGTTTATGCCAAAGATGCGAATAGCATAAAGAGCTCTTCGTGAATCAGATTCTGAGTCTGTTAGTGCAATTATGACAAGGCCTGTAAGTGGCTTTTCCAGATACTTGGATCTTTTGCTTTACTCTAGTAGATCCTTAGGGCTGCTAGTTATATGATTTTCTTACTGCAGTCCTGATTTCAGCTTCTTTGCCAGTTCTTTCTGCATAAAATGATCCAGAATTTTGATCACATGTGATTAGCAATTTATTTATTGTTGTAATGATGGTAGGAAATGAATATTTTGATTGAATTTTTAGTTAGGATGGACTTCAAAGCTCTTGGATCTACTTATAATCAAAATATCTTGGAAAAAAAATTTCGGTGGGATATTAGTTTGGTTTTCTGCTGGTTATGGTTATTTTTTATCATTTCTTTGTTATTTGTTGAGCCTATATTTTTTAATCACTACTATCCTTTTAAGGGAATTTTTTTTTTTTTTGAAAGATAGAGTCAGCTTTATGTTACATATTCTATACTATATTCAGCAATTTTATTACTTTTCCACCCATGATTCCTTGGCTTTAAGACCATCTCCAACTGAACATCAAACGAGTGTTTGGCGTCGTTCGGTCGCTCCAGCCGAATGCCAAAACGTCCGCCATTTGCTTGCGGATGAACAGTGCAACACCCTGTTCACCCACGCTATTTTGCTCTCTCAACCGGAAAAACGCGCCAAAGGAGAAGGATCGTTACCTTCCCGCGGAAGCAAAAAAATGGCGTTCGATTGGAGCAGAACCACGCCATTTTTGCGTTTTGCGGTATTTTGACGTGAAAAATGGAGTTCTCCGTTGGAGATGCCCTAATCGTTATTTTCACTTGTCCTTATCAAGTGTTTTTTGTTTATAGAAAAATTAAGGCCTTAGCCAATATCATATAAAAGATGAAAATTACATTTCATCCCAATTTTGTGGTTCTTATCATTGATTTTTTTATTTTTTTTTTCAAATTCGCTTACTAATTTTTCCTGAAAAAAAAAAATTAAAAACCGAAAAGTTATAAGATTTTAGAGCACCATAGAACGTTAACCAGTTAAACATTAGACTTTACTATAGTTATTAAAATTGTTTAATTTGACCAACTTTTTAGATTAAATTGTAGATATATGACCAGTTCTATATGGCGATCTCTGGCCCAGTGTTGTATGATGCATCTTTTTTATTTTTCTTTTTATTTTAATGAAAATATTTTTCATTTTTTTAGTTTTTTTTTTTGCAATCTTTTTGTCCTTTCTCCAATTTGACAAAGCATTATATTTTGTTTGGGTCAGTTTTCTTATTTCTTTCTAAAATAATTTTATAGTATGAAAATTTTTTAAAATAAAAACTTTTGTGCTATAAAATTGTTTTAAAAAGTCAGAGACAGCGTTTGGCAAAGATTAGGACTATAATCTGTCATCTATAAATCTGAACTAAATGAATTTTATAGTCATTAACTTTAATTTTTCATTATTAGAATATTAGATTATATTGATTAGCCATTCACTGAAAGTAAATTTATTAATTAGAAAATTCATCCTAATTAAACTTTATTATAATATTCTGATTAAATTTGTATTTTTATCCTTTTTATTTACTTGAAAAAATTTTATCTGAATTTTATTTTATTGACAAGAGTATACCATAGTCATAATAATCTTTTCCTTACACACACAAACTTCTACCATAAGATCTCTTCTAACATTTTTGTTTTAATTTAATATGCCTATATGTAACTTGTAAGCAATTGTCAAACATAAGAGATCATAGAATTTGAACTGTTCTTTAAAATAGTTACTGTGTCACTACCATGTCATTGTGTCGGCCATATAAATTATGTGTTTTTTTTTTTTTTAATTTGTGCAACCTCATCAATAAGAGAGAGAGAGAGAGAGAGAGAGAGAGAGAGAGATCTTATGGTAGAAGTTTGAAAGGTGGAGAGTGACAAGTTAACCAAAATGATATTAGATTGATGATTGTCTTTCAAGTGAATATAAAATAACAGCAGTATGAAATAGTGACAGAGACTTCACCCAACCCTAAAGCAAACCCAACTGTTCCTTTCTCTCCAATACTCTTCACTTCTCTATTTCCTTCAGCCAACCCTCTCTCTCTCTCTATCTCTCTATCTCTCCTCTCTCATTCCTCTCTCTCTCTCTATCTCTCTATCTCTCCTCTCTCATTCCTCTTCTTCTTCTTCCTCCTATGAATCTATAAGGTCCCTTCACAATGGGCTGGCTTCAGTCCCTCTTCTCTCCATTGAAGAAGCTCTGGCTTCACCTTCATTCTAGCAAGAAGAAGAGTAAGTTCCCCTTCTAACTTCTTTTTATTTCATGATTTGATCTCTCAATGAATCTTCATAGAGAAAAAATGGACCTATTGTTTTCTTGTTTTTCAATCTATTCTTGACACTTCTTCAGCCTTCTCTATCTCTCCCAACTCCAAGCTTCTAATTGCTTAGCTTAATCATTTTTCTTCACATTATCTTCTTATTTTTTCTCCTTTTTCTTCTAATTTTCATATGTTGTCTATGTTCTCTCAGTGTCGATGATATTGAGTATAATGTTTGAAATTTATATGTTGTTAATGTTATGATAGGAAGGGGGATATATCTTCTCTATGAGGATGTGAAGTCTTGTCCATGTGAAGATGTGCATGTTCTATGGTCCATTCTTGTCGAGTCACACCCGAAGTTATTGCTGCCACCGCCGCCGCTGCCATCGAAGCAATGAGAGCTCATTGTAGCTCTTATGCTTGATACAAATCCATATGATTAGTAATAAAGAAGTAAAAGAAAAGTTATGATGATAAGAGTTTTCATGTACATATATATTTTTATATATATAGTGTACTTGTGAATAGAAGAAAGGGGTGATTAGAAGAAGAAAAGCTTGTTGTTTTCATATGGTAATTCAACAGTTGCTTTGTCTATTTAGGGTTGTTGAAAGGTTGTGGGGATTTCTCTTTCACCAATCTTTGTCATTTCTAGTTTGGAGTGAATGATATGATCTTTGATGTAAATATTCATCCATGTAAATATTCATTCAAAGATGTAATTCACATGTGTGCTTTTGTTCTATTTTTTATTATTATTTTTTTTAATATAAAGTTATTTATATTGTCCCTAAGTTTTTTTTTTTTTTTTCCTTAAAAGAGCATTTTCCTTTACCTTATGGTATTAATATGACCTTATAATTGTTGGTTTAGCACTTCCTATTTTTTTAAAATTATTTGTATAACAAATAAATATAAATATAAAAAGAATGTTTATAGAGAAAGGGACTATATATTTAATATAATAAATTATTTATTTTTACAATTTTTTAATCATTTATTTAAATTTATGGTTAATATTAAAAAAATAATTTTCTTTAGTTATTTTAAATGTTTGTAATTTAATTTTTTTAAAGGAATGATAGAAAATATGTAAGAATTAATGCTTTCTTTCCAAGTAATTAAACTTAGTTTAAATTTGGGTTAGGACATCAATCTCAAATACAATCATCATTAATTTCTTAAGTAATTAAACTTATTTTAAAGTAATTATAATATGAGAATTAATTTATTAATTATATATTATAAGTGAAATAACTCAAACTCAATTTGATTAGTAATCACTCAAATTAGTAATTAAATAAATTTAATTATTTTTTAAAACATGAAGGTTAGTGAATCAAACTTCAATGCAACTCAACTTTAGAATATCTTGATCCAAAATTTCTCCATCTTTTGACATTGTTTGCTCCATTATGGGAGTTAATGATGGTGGTGAGCATTCACACTTAGATCTACAACTAATGTAACATCAACAACTAAGATACTTTTCTCTAAAGGAGTAGAAGAAACCTTTACATTGTGAAGTGTGGCCCTCATTTTTGTGCAATAAGCCACCATCAAATCAATGATTTTGGTATCATATTGACCATATAAAATCTTATAGGTGAAAAATAAAAAAAAATGCAAATAAAAAAAAATTCTATCATCACATGTCAAATTCCCCTTAACAATGCAAACACTTACATGAATATAAAATTCACGCATTAAAGCTTCGTTTGTGATGGCTTTTTTATTGCTTCTTAAAGCAATTTTTTAGTACAAAATTTTTAATTTTTATACTAGAAAGCTGCTTTAAAAAGCTATAAGAAAATTGTTCCAAACGAAACTTAAGTTCTATTGTTTCTTAATAGTACAAAAATTTTAATTTTTTGTACCAAAAAGCTGCTTTAAGAAGCAATAAAAAGCTGTCTCAAACGAAACCTAAACATGAGATAGGACCCACCAATATTTGAAATCTCCACTTCTCCTATACTGACAATGAGAGGAGACCGACACATGCATTAAAAACTCAAATCAAAGAAGATTGTAAGTCAGATGCTAATTCCTGCCGACGATCTTCCTTACCTTCTAAAACAAAGATCGCAACATAGGAACTAACATTATTGATTAATCAACAGCAATTGTATTTGATTCCTTCTTGTTTATAACTTGTATAGAAAATTCATATCAAGCAATACTCTCTCTCTCTCTCTCTCTCTCTCTCTCTCTCTCTCTCTCTCTCTCTCTCTCTCTCAATCTCTATGAGTGATTTGACTGAAAATCTATGGGAACTAATAGTAAATAGTGGTATAACAAAGCATATCATCTGCATTCCTATCAAGAACAGTACTGAGATAAAATTCTCTTTCCATGTCTAAGAGATGAAGCCTATCTTTGATAATTGATAATCAGCTTCCCAAAATCTAACTACCAACAAATAAATATAGTAAAATAATCATACTAACAATGGACACAAAGATACAAATTTCTCCATTGAATCTGAGAAGTTAGTATTAGTTTTTGGCCTAACAGTAACCAAACTTTAGAGAAAACTGAAGGGTAAGAAAGAGGATATTTCAATCTTTGAACAGTTTTTTTGTCCAAGTTAAAATCAAATCAATGCATATATAACAACAGGAAAGCATGAAAGCAAACCCTAGGTGATATAGGTCAGATCAAATCAATTTATTGAACTTAAAACCTTTGCTCAAGCAGGTCTGGTTCAGGTCGGCCCAATTAACCTTAGTCAACAATTCTCAGGACCTGCACCACATATAGTTCTCACGTGACTCTCAAGGGAAGAAAAGAAAAAGGACTAACTCATCTTTATTTACTGCATTATTATATGAGCCCCTAAGGCTTCGTTTGGGACGACTTTCTTGATGCTTCTTAAAGTAATTTTTTAGTAAAAAATTTAAATTTTTTATTAAAAAACTGCTTTAAAAGCAACAGGAAAGCCATCCCAAACGAAGCCTAAATTTATAGCTCAAAAAGCTTTACAAACCATCAGGTAACGAAAATTCAGCTATCCTAACCACACAAAATTTCCCAAGTATCAATCATCTAAATTTTATATCTAAAGTTATGAAAATATTGAGTGCCAAAACACAATTTTGATGTCGGTAAATATTGATCCTAGAATATTGACAAGAAATTCAAAATCTTTACTGACATATGACCTTTCGAATAAAAAAAAATCATGCCTTGCAAGAAGTCCAATGACAATACGGTGTTCTTTGCTCGTACAATCACACTTTATTGTGAGAAATCGGAAGTTGCATAAGATAGCATGGAACAAAAGTTTGATAAATAAATTGAAAATGAAGCAGATGGTACCACAAGGGCTCATAAGTTGGGAAGACAAATGTCTGCGAAAACTGAATTTATAAGAGCAACTCCATGTAATTTTTCAGTCTTCTACAAGTAATAATTTGATGCATCCTGTAAGGAAAGATAGCATACAATCAGGATAAGTTTAAAGTTACTAGAAAGGAAAAAACACAGACTTAATTTAGTGAAGATAATGTGCCATAAAACCCAGTATTTATTTATTTTTGTTCATTATACTATTATTTAGGTAATTTGTCCCCCTTCAATCTATTTTTAAGTCTTTATTACAAGGGTTTTTAGGCAATTGCCCCCCTAAAAATATTAAAATACTATGGTCTTTAGGCAATTGCCCCCAATATAATTAAATACATTGTGTAGATGTGTTATTATTAGGGAATGATGAACCAAATACAAAGAGAAATAGTAAATCAAAACTTGTTTCGGGTGCGCTGCCCCCGGAAACCCCCGCAGGGGCGCTGCCCCTTGACGCCGCTACCTGACCGGGCAGGTCGAACCCCGCCAGGGGGCGCTGCCAACTTGGACCCCCAACATATATGCCAACATTTACTTATAAGTCTGCCCGCGCCCCCCCGAAAATTATGGTTGGTTCCGCCCCTGAGAAATTGCCGAAGAAAACAACTAATTGAACAAGTTTTAACCATCATGATATCCATGGTGATCACCAGATATTTGCTTCTATGTAGCTTCTACATGAAGGTCACCCAGAAGTCCCTCATTCCTAATCAGCAATGATACCACACAGTGAAAATATTAACAGCAATTTGCTCCAATCTCGTCAACAAGTATAAACTAGCAAACGAAATAGGTTTTTTTTTCCATAATAAAATTTTCCACTCCATATATAAATATTTTTTATGTTAAAATGAAAAATATCATAAAATGATCTTTTACGTGCATTGTGTTGACTGCATATGATTGAGGCTCATACTGAATCACATGCATATGCATTAGTTTAATGATGGTGAATTAAAATGAATATATATAATGCAAGTTTTGTCTTGAATCTGCACTGAATTTTGATATATACTTTTTTAATTTCTAACTAGTTGGAGATGGTTTGGATTTAATACGAAACCTGCATTTTTTTAATGCAGATTTAGATTTATAATTTCCAAAATAAAAAACCTGATCACCAGAACCATAGCATGCATTCATATTGCACAAGCAAGTACTTTGTGGTGGTTAATATGTTATTGATGACACATTAGGTAGTTTGACCAGAACAAGAATAAAATAAAAATGAGATCAAAAAGATGGTTGACGAAAAATTTAAACAAAATGACGAAAAAATTAAAAAGAAATAAAATAAACTAGACACAACAGTCGTTAAGATAAAAATGGGAAAGAATAGAAACAAGTTTGATTCAAACAAGACGGATAAATGGATGCACAAATAAGATGGCTAGATATAATCGATGTTGAAAAAATAGGTGAAAAAAAAGGATGAACCACGGTTACATGTTTAAAAGTTGGGAAAAAATAAACGAAATAGAGTTTTATGTAAAGATTTTGAAGATGTTGATATGAACATATCAATAAACCAAATTTACTACAATGAATAAACATGTTACTTGAATATGAAAGATGTGGTATGATCAGAAGTATCCTGAAAACAGATTTTAATATAAATCTGGAAAAGAAAATAATTGAGACACGGATCAATGAAACTGACTTTTCTATAAAGATGACGAGGATGTTGAATAATCAACCAAATGCCTCAACCAATCTTTGAAGTAAGTTACATCCTCTATTTCTGTCAGCGAAAGGGCACCAAGGGGTGTAATTGTAACCTGCAATAGATTAAAGTGCAATTTCAGTTAATTATAGACGCATCTAAGCAGGCATGCACTAGAAAAGTAAAACACTAGAAGAAAAAAAAAAAAACTAACGTAGCCATTTTGGAGAGACCAGTAGTCCGTGTCCTCATCATCTTTTTGTTCAAAGCTCAAACGTGAAACCTGTTGTAACATATAAAAGTTTGTTTAGATTGATCAAAAGAAACTGTTATAGAAAAAGAACCTTTGTGTTTGTAATTTGAGATGGGAATTGCAGAACAGAAAACATATATTTAGAAAATGAGCTTAACCACTATGGCATATGAAGGATTAGGCTATAGGAAAAATTCAATTTAAAATTTGTATAAAAAATATTTGGAAGTTATGATAATATAAAAATGGCCAAAGCAACATCATAAAAGGATATCATCATAGAGACGATGTTAGACATAAAGCTTGAAAATTAAACAAGCTAAAGAACCTCTTACGCCTATTCCATAAGTTAGTTAAAACTTTTGAGGTGAAATCATTATAGTGATACCATACAGGATGATACAGAAGTTACCATGAGAAAAAAATATCACATACGATGGCAAAAAGCTAAATCATTTAAGAAATCAAAGTTTCCTTAACAAAACTGAAACCATGATCGTCACAAATTTGATGTGGAGTCATGAGGTCGCACATTTAAACATAAACTGAATGTGATCAACAACTAAGAGTCAACAACCAAGCTCCACTCCACTAATTGCTAGCTTTTTATTTTACAGTTATTTGCAGCCATCTGCTGCTTTGGTTGTTATTATTGTCTGTTTTGATTATTTGATACAGGTTCTTGGTGCTACATGGGTCTTATCTAATATGCTGCACATGCCCTGTTCCGAAATCAAAATGTACTGCAATATCATCAGAAATTCAGTGCCATGTTAGTCTTTTAGTATATGATATATTATTGTTGTTCGAGCAGCACATGGCTGGAAGAGAGGATAAACTTACCGATCTCTTGAACAAAAGCTGATCCTGCAATGGAGCTGAAACAACATCCATTTCAGTGTCCACAACAGTATTTCCCTCAATGCTTGCTGTTTGATAGCTTTCTGTAGCTGGTGTATTGACATGAGTCTGCTTCCACCCAATCCTTATCATATATGTACCCTGTTTTGTTATCTTGAAACCCTACTGGCAAAAACAATAAAGTAGAGAAATAGATTATTCAAATGCATCGGTCTTATGATCTTCAAATTTATGAACAAAAACATGGAGATGAAAATGATAGGAAATACTTGATTTCAAGTAGTTCCTAATCAAAGTCTGAAGCAAATGGTGATAATTTCTGCTGTTTACAGCAAGAAAACAGTAAAATCTGAACCAAAACAGAGAAAACCTGAGAGGAAAATGGAGAAAAACTCGCCCAAACACTTGTACTTTACTAGTAGATGAAAGAAAACTTGCAAAGATACAAAGATCCTCTAGAGAGACACAACTAGGAAGCCTTACCCTAAGTCAAAATGATCAAGTACAAAATAGAATAATCCTTCTGGTCACTGGCATTGAAATCTAGAGCATGATTAATGGCTAGGGGTATAGTTTCCTTCTTAACATAAAACAAGAAGAATATTCTCACCAAATAGATGTCCAAAGTGATGTAGGGCAGTACAGGATTAATATTTTCTAATACAATTAATATGTTGTTTAATATGAATTCATTCAAAGGAAATTAGAGGATTCATAGATCAAAAAATCAAAAATTAATTAAACTTGATTTTTTTAAGTGTAAACAGACAATACTTGAATTAAAATACAACTGAGAACAAATTGATTGAAATAATCCGATAAATTCAGCAATGATTTAAAAAGTAGAAACATGTAAAATTAGCAAAAATTTGTAATTTAACTTCACAAATTAAATTTTTTATGTACCAAATTTGAATAAAATCAAGAGTACTAGTCAAGAAAATATCAAATTATGCAGAAACAAATAAGAAGGAACGAAAGCACCAAAATAAGATAAATAAGGCCTTGCACCAGTACAAGAGATGATCTCCCCAAAAATCAAGCAGTTGCATCTATATCACACTTGAAGGAATTACACATCCAACTTGCACATATATGATTGAAAACTAAAAAGACAATTTGTTCATCCAAAAATTATATCATTACATGCCTTAAAATATGTATTTGTAAATTCCTCATTCCCTGAGCTAGCAGATATAGTTGGCATAGAATCATCCTAATCCAAGTTTAAATAAAAATCCTAAAAGAGAAAATTAGTTATAGCCAAGTTTAAACCCCATAATTTAAAATTAAGTTTTAAATTTTAGATTTATTTTAAGGCATTCATTATTAATGAATCCCCTGAAATATTGTTGCAGCTTAACTATCTCAATAAAGTTTTTTTTATGAATTGGTATGACAAAAAACAATGAACCAAACATAAAGTCAACATTTTGATCATCCATCACGGGAACAACATCAACTAATAATTCATCAACGTTATGTTTTAATATTGCACATTTAATTTATCACTTACATAAAACATGATTGGATTATCTTCACATTCATAAATAGATTCAATTTTTATTGGAAGTTTATATTTAGATTTGATCCTGTGCTCAATTCCAATTTTATATTCAAATTTTGACTCATGCTTAAGCATACATCAAATTTCATGTATATGTATATAATCTATTTCAAATGCAAATTTAAATTTGTTTTTGAATTTTAATTTGCATTGCAATATCAAACAATTTTCTAAGTAAAACATCCAAAAAGGAGTATTCATGAAATAAAATTTCTCCAACGAGATTGCCATACTTGATTCTTACGTTTGTGCATTTTTTCAAGGCTTTAGATAAAATGTTTTTTGAGTTTTCCTTAAGTTCAACACAGGTGCAATAATCCTAATAAGAAATAGTTGTACATCCAAAGTAATGCACAAAACCTCAAACAATATTTTTTATGAATTGTGGCTTATTTCATCCTCATGGTTAAGATATTTAAATTAACAAATAATAATAAAAAATAAACTTAAAGGCAAAAAATATTTAGCTAAAATACAAATAACCTTGCATAATACTCAAACGCATCATATTCACCTTATTTACAATCCCTAAATTGATCAAGTAATTGATCCACATAATCACACCAAATTATAAGTATTGCCTCTTAAATATACGTACCATATGAACCCATGAAGACTTATGCTTCGTTTGGAATGGCTTTTTTACTGCTTTTTAAAGCAACTTTCTAATTAAAAAATTAAAAATTTTGTACTAAAAAGGTGCTTTAAAAAGTAGCAAGAAAGTCATCCCAAACGAAGCCTTAGTAGTAAAATTTCACAAATGATTGAGCATATCCCATAAGTTTTTATTTGACACAATCAACTATTTGAGGAACAAAAAATTTATATTTCAAGTAAATCTTCCCAATTATTGATCAATTCTGAAAATTCTTCTAAGATTATAGCTTGCATTGAATTTATGAACATATTTTCAAACTATATGTGCCCATCATGTTTACATCATTTCTCACTTTTTTTATTGACCTAATTAATATGTTCTACATTTAATTGCTATAAACTCTGAAGACAATTTAATGCAGAGCAATTCATATTTAGTTTTTTAATGCAACTAGTGTGAGGTATAGAATGGCAGAATGCAAAGAAAATTGAGAATTCACATATCACAAACGCCAACTAATTTAACAACTTATTTACTGTAAATTTAATAAGCAAAACTTGAATTAAAACCAATCGATAAGGATATGATCGAAATCATCCCAGAAATTCAACAAGGATTTAGAATAATAAAAAATCAAAGAGCAATTGTAATTTAATTTTTGATGTGCTAAATATGAACAAAATCAAGAGCATGTTCATCAGGCCAATATCAAATTATATAGAAGAAATGAGAACACAAGACAAACTACAAAAATAAAGAAAATTAAGCATCACATCGATACAAGGAGAAGACTTTCTTTGGAATCAAGTAGTCACACTTACACCGTACTCAAAGAAATCAAACGTCCAACTTATACATATAAATTAAAATTAAAAAATAAACTTTATAGTTTATTCAACCAAAAGTTCTTCCATTATAAGCCTCAAAACATCTATTTATAAATTCCTCATCCTCTAAGCTAGTAAATAAGATTGGTGTAGAATTAGCTTAATCCATAATTAAATTAAAATCCATAAATAGAAAATTAATTTCAGCCAAACTTACAACTCATTAATTCTTATCCAAAGCAGCCCGATGAACAAGAAAATTAGAGATAAAATCACGAGAAACATAATAATTGATCCAAATAAATGTGAAATAAACCATCCCAACGTCATACTCAAGGAGAGAACCATGGCACATAACAAAAATTGTATGAAACACAAGAACAAGAAGAAGAAGAATGATGATGATGGTGGTAATAATAATAATAATAGTAATAATAAAGCAGTCCACCGAAACAGTGTAGGGGCTTGAAAAGCTTTGAGGTAATAACATAAAGCGGCTGTTTGAGCTAGAACTCTTCCACTGCTACGTAATGTTTGCATTGTTAAAAAGAGATGATAATGCATGCTCTAAACCAGGGATACCCTATCTTATGATCTTTAATGAAACAGATAAATTATCAGGTAGTTCATGTATCAATTAGTTATCATAAACAAATATGTATGTTGACCGATAGATAATGGTGAAACTCTTCATATCACTACTATTCTGATATATGCAAAGCAAAATTTAGAAACTTGTCATAACTGCGCTTGAACAATCTGACCTATAAATTGAAGTTTGCTACGATCCCATAGAATTTTTTTTGTTGGCTATTTAACGCTTCTTTTACACCAAAATACCCCAAACATAAAAATATAAAAGAATACAGACAACATTCATGTTACTGGGACAGAACCGAATCAATAAAATGTGATAATTCAGGGAACCAACTGCCCAAATTATTTGCAGCTAAAATATACTAGAGTTGTATTAGATGAACAACTATTGTACATTTAATCATTCCAACCATTATGTACCATAGTTTAAAGATTACCTTATGATTAGCTACATCTGTTGGCACGTCTATATTCAAAAATGATCCTTTGGGATATGTCTTATTCTTCAATTCAGTCAATACAGCGTTTATTACTGGCAAGCATACCTCTACAGCTAGTTTGAGATCCTGAACGTTGCTCTTACCTCCAACCCTGAAATGACAGCCAAAAAAGAGCCACAGATGATGATGGTAATACTCCAGTAATCTAGCATGAAGACGAACAAAAATAAAATAATGGTGACCACAACGGCAATAGAAGTATAATATTAAGCCAACCCAAATCTACTTGAAATGCCAACAATATTCTTCACAAAACAACTATCAGCAAATTAAATCTATGGGATACATAGATTAATTCTTAAACATGAACAATAGTATCAATCCTCCAAGCCCTAGGGTTCTTATTCACCATATTGCCTGACCAGAAGATAATTGATGCGAAGCTCAAAGTTTACAGCTGGCAAAAAGGTAAAATGGATCACCATACGACCTAGGGGTGTAAGTGAGCCGACCCGGCTCGAGCTCGACTTATTTATGGGCTTGCGATCCAAGCTTATCAAGCTCACGAGTTGAGTTCGAGCTTGATGAGGCTCGGCTCATGAGCTTGCAAGCCGGCTCGAATAATTATTAATATTTTTTAAATAATTTTATTTTATTTATTAAATTTAAATATTTAAAAATTAATAATAAATATTAAACATATTTATTAAATGTAAATATTTTTAAGTCCCGACTATATTTTAAAAAATCCCGCCTAAATTTTAAAATCCCGTCGAGGCTCGCGAGCCGGCTCGAGCACATTTATTGTGGGACAAGCTTGAATTCGAGCTCGAGCTCTAGTTCGAGCCGACTATATATATGACGAGTCGAGCTCAATAAGGTCAATACTCGACTCAGACTCGTTTACACCCCTAATACGACCAATCAAAAAGTTGAACACTTACATAATTTTTTTATGTTTTGATTTATTTTTATTATTGTTGATTTAATAAGAATATATATGAACATGCCTAGGATGTTATCACATGTAAAGTTTGATTTGTAGTTGGATCATTACTCTATACTACAACTACCAAGAAAATTACTAGTGGATTCCCTCTATGATTGGACTCTTCTTAGCAACTTCAGTGACCTATTGACATTCCTATCTAGCTTTATATTCTCTATTGATCTGAGGCTGTCTTAGGGGCTCCAGTGGTTTATGTTGGCTCAAGAAAAAAATAATGTGTTGGCATGAACCCCGCTTTGAAGCTATAAGATTCCATCTTTCTCGAGTCAAATTGTAATTAACCAGATTTCATCTGAGAGTAGTATCAGGGTTTAGTTAGATCCGGGCCCTTACTTCTTATGAGTGCAAGCACTTATAATTAATTACTCATCTTAATACGTAAGAGAGAACTCTCGATTAATGATGAATAATTTAGGTGTTTTAGTCTCAGTTATAGGAAAAAATGGAGGTAAACTCGATCAAGATCTCATTGTTCCGTCATCTTAGGTATACCAAAAGTTTCAGTTTACCAACATTAGCAATCGTTTACCGTAGTGTCGAGGGAATCTGATTAGCAGTCATGGATTGCTTCCTCTCAGGGATCCCGAATAAATTGAAGTGATTAGATGAAGTTAATTTAGTTTAGGTTTGAAAAAAAGTAGTTTGGGGTTTAGATCTATTAGAATACCCATAAGTTATCTTTGGTTTGGGATTTATAACTTCGTTTAGAAGTTACCCAAAAGTATGAATTGAAACGGGTCTTACGGCTTCTTCTTAGAAGGAGTCGAGTGTTTGAATTTGGGTCAGAACTTATGGCTTTCATCAAAAGTAGCCCGTAGAGCGTGTGGCCTATATTAGAAGTAGTTCACTGGTGGACCTTACAACCTAGCCCTTATAGGCTAAGCTGTCTATTAGTTTTGTTTGTTTGAATTTAGGGTCTCGCAATTTATTTAGTGATTTCACTCACGTGTGGGTCATAAGACTTTACTTAGACATTGCCCGTTAACGAGTCTAACAACCTAGCCCTATAGGCTAAGCTACCCATTAGTTCAAATTTAATTTGAGAGTTTAATATTTATCTTAGAAGTTTCTCTCAAATAACAAGCCTTACAAATTCTTTTGAAAGATGTCTAAAAATGGGTCTTACAACCTAGCCCTTTATACTAAGATGGTCATTAATTTGGTTGGTTAACAAGTCTTAAGACTCCCTTCAAAATTGTCTATAGATTTGCAGGACTTACTGCTTCCCTTAGGAAGTAGCATGTTGTCTGTGTTTAGGGTAGATTAGAATTTACCCGTAAATACTTTAGTTTGTGGTTGCTTGCTAGCTTGACACTAGACCTTTAGCTTTAAGTTGCTTACTAACCCGACACTTACCAGCCATCAGTTATTGTTGTTTGACACTAGTGTATCTGCTATAGTACCCTACTCTTTTTTCTTTCAGTACCATAGATTGTATCGGTAATTACTTTATTGTACCAGTAGCATGTTCTACTTTCTTTAGCCTGGTTTTCTTTCTTTAGCAGTTATTTTGATGTTAATCAATTTTGGTTCGTTAACTTACAGGTGCCTGGAGTTTTGTGCCTGGAGTTTTGTGCCTGTAAGAGCTTACTTAGGAGTATTGAAGAGGTTACATGGGTATTGATTGAGAGTTGAATTGAGTGGAGTTGTGTTGGTTGAGTTTGAGCTGTGTTTAAGTTTGAGAGTTTGTGTTTGTTGAGTGTGTTTTGAGTTTGAGTTGGTTGAGTTGAGTTTGAGCTTGAGTTTAGGTTTGAGTTGTGTTTGGTTTGGGTTGTATTCATACTTGTTAACGACGAATGGCGCACCATGGTGCAAAGATCCTAATTGAGCCATGGCGCATAGCGCACGGCGCGGCGCGCGCCATTTTGAACATGGCGCAAATTATAAAATAATTATAAAATAAGAAGCATGAATATGAAATATAATTAAATTGAAAGACAAACTATTATAATAACAAGCAAACAACGACAATATAAATAAATAACAATCCAACATAATTTCAATTCCAATAAGTAGTCAATCTTTATACAACTAAAATATATTTAAATGAAAGCAAATAGCATTAAAAAGATAATAATATGAAATCTAACATTTATCTTAATTCTTTTAATATATTTAAAAATTAGAAAATATATTATCTTAAAAAAATATTTATAATTACATTAAAAAAAATTAAAACAAATGGCGAGCGCTATTTTGTGCCTTGCGCCATGCGCCATAGCGCACATGTGGCGCAAATAGCGCGTGCCATTTTGAACATTTGCCCCGCGCCATACACATGACGCCGTAGATGCGCCGCGCCGCGCCGTGCGCCACGGCGCGCAATATTTTGCGCCATTGACATCTATGGTTGTGTTTGGTTTGAGTTTGTTGAGTTTAGTGTTGAGTTGTGTTTAAAGTTTGGTAGTATAAACATTTGTTAATTATGCATTTATTTTATTTCGTTTATTTAATTGGGTTTAAAAAAATTGGTTGGTAAGATTTTAAATTTTAAAATGATTAATGAATTTTGAATTTTAAAATGATTATAATTAGTTATTTGAATTTTTAATTGGTTACTTAATTAAATTTTAAATTAATTGATTAATTATTAAATTTTATTTAAATAGAGTTAAATAAATTATTAAAGTTTATTAAATTAGGTGAATTTTAATTAAGGTCTTATGCTGGAAGTTTTAATTGAATTTGTATTTTAAATTAATTATATTTTAATTAATAAATGATTTAGTTAAAATAAACTAAGTTTTTAATTTTTCTCCAATTAAATTAATTTATTTTATTAATTAGAATTTTAAATTTATGTTAATAAGTTAATTAATTTAATCATCACTCTCCAATCTTGTGGACATTTGGCAGTCTCTCGGGGCAATTTCGCCAGCCTCCCGGCATCCCCTCCCTATGGGGGAGGTCGAGAGTCGAGACGGCACTTGAAGTTAATTTCATCTCGACCGAATCTAAGATCGACGGCATGAGGGCTTCGAGTGAATTTCATCCCGGCTAGATCTAAGATCAACGGCATGAGAGCTTCAATTAGACTTCATCCCGGCCAGATCTAAGATCGATGGCGCGAGGGCTTGAGTTTGAAACCATCCCAATCGAATCTAAGATCAATGGCGTGAGGGCTTGAATTTAAAATCTTCCCATACCCAGATCTAAGATTAATGGCAAGAGTCTTCAATTTGCACCTAGTAGCTTATCCCTCTTTTATTATTATTATTATTATTATACATACCATTGCCCCAATTCTTTGTATTCATGGGCAATAGTAGACAAGATTATACATTATAGAAGAGTGAAAGTTATGAAACATTATGCACTTGCAGTTGGGAAGAATTTTAGTTCAAGATACAAAGTGGAGGTTGTATACTCGTCGTGGAGACAAGCACACAAGACCGCTCGTATGAGTTCGATCTTACGAACTAGGGTGTTCTTGTGTATAGTGTCGGACGAAGCAAGCTGGCAGGAGAAGGCTATGGCATTCGAAAAAGGTTAGAGCGGAGGGTTTATAGGAGATTGTGGGCTTTAGTGATTGACACAGGCTAGGAACAGTCAGAACGAGCAAGGCGGCATAGAAATCGGGGTGGTCCTGTGCAAGGAGACGCGCAAACATTTTGTTAGAGGTTTGATCGAGAGTAGGGTTTTGAGTCGAGACAGCTCACACAAATAGGCGAATCATGGGAGTATTGTACTCACACAAATAAGAGAAAAACACGCAATGTTCGTGTGAACTTGAGTTCCGTGTGGGTTCCGGGAGTCCGACATAAGCGGATACGCAAGGTGACGTACGTGCGAAGATTCTCTCACAACACGGTACGAAATATGGACAAAATTTGCACGGGGGTAGTGGAGGTCTCCCCTTTGCAATGAATCAGATAGTCATCAAAAGATGCGATGTAATCCTAGACCGGTTTGTTGTCCTGAGTCAACCTATTCCACCTATCCAAGCCTGGGGAAGTACGAGGGAGGCAAGTACTTCTACTTGAGCTCATGCTTATTCGACTACCAATCATTGATGGGATACTCGTTTTGGGACTCTCTAAGGCTCTTTAAGTTTGACCAAAATTGACTAGCCCTACTAGTGAGTTTCATCTCAGCAAATTTAACTTTTCTAGCCTCAGAGATGTACCATTTAAAGAAATTATCCATACCCTTAATCCAATCCAGAAAGAGCTAAGGATTGAGGGTACCATCAAAGGTTGGGGCATCAACCTTGATATTTTTCATCAGTGGAATATCCAGGTCAAGATTATGATCATGTCCATAGTGGGGAGCTCGATAAACGGACAAGGTGGTCCCTCATCTCGAAAAGTGTCGTCCCCATACATGGAAGGAGATCTAGACGAAGTGTAAGGAATATGGTGGTTCCTACCTCAATCAAAGGTCGTTCTACGAGTTCAGTGATGTCAGCTTGATTTTTCTTGAGTTGCTGGCTAATAGTGTTCATTTGACCTACCAACAGCTCTAGAGTCCGGTGAAGTTGTTCAAGGTCCATCCTAATGTCTAGGACAACTCAGAACTATGCAGAAGTGAAAGAAAATAATATGCAAACAAACAAATGTGCAGGATGCGAATTAAATGCTAAACATGTAAGAAAGCTTTCCTAATAGGCACATAAATGCAATCATGCTCTGATACCAGATGATGTAGAACTATGAATGCTTTAAATGATGAATATAAAAATTTGCACGCTTTCAAATAAGAGCAATAAGAATTAAACTTAGCTGCTTAACGAAAATGGAAAACAAGAAAGGGGTGCCTTAGCTTAGGCCAAGTCACACAATAATAGTTAGGATCACAAAATAATTATAAAATTCCACATAAGCAAATATAGAGGATTTCAATAACATCCCTAGATTAACAACGAGATTCTTCATTCATTCCCTACGTTTACTAAGCTTTGGCAGAGAGCTTTGCACGCTTCCTTATGCTTGATACAACAACAATCAAAGGAGAGTAGGAAGGAAATTGAAGAGGGGAAAAGAGTTCACCCTTTTCTTGGCATGGTGGTGATTTTTCACTGAATGGTGGAAAGTTGTTCTTCGATTGCTTCTGAAAGAGTGAATATTATACGCTCCACGCATTCCTGGACGGAATTATCTACCTCCGGATTGACATCAAAGAAAGGTGATCGGAGGATATCGACGAAGCCTTGTTCGTTGTAGACGAAGCCGGAGTCGAGTTCATGATCAGTTATACATAGGATGCGTGGCGTTGAAGTATTGTGGAAGACGGCCCTTTGCCGTCCTTTAGGATTATCCTTGGGAGAAAGAAGTTTCTCCAAAGAATCTAAGTGGAAGAAGGGGTGAGAGAGTGGCCGGCAAAGGTAGGGAGCTTGGGAAAGTTTAGGTTCAGATTTTAAAGGTGTTAGGGTTAAGGAAAGGCCGGCTAGGTTACAGAGGGATGTGGGGAAAATATAGTTCAGATTTTAAAGGGAGGAGGACGGGGGAAAATTAGGTAATCGTTTCCCTAATTAATCCCCTAAAGTTGGAAGGATTTTATGGAGGATTAGAGAGAGGGAGGGGGTGGGTAAGAGAGAGAAGGCAAGGTTTGAATTCTTTCCCAAGTGAGAGGCTTAATTTTGGAAAGCAATTAAGTGGTGGGGACAAGAAGGGGGGCCGGCAGCATAGAGCAGAGGATGGGGGTTTAGGAAAGGGTTTTAATACTTGCTTAAGTGGGAAACCCAAATTAAGGAAGAGTATTTAATTCCAATCCAATTCAAAATTAATTTAGATTTGATTTAGAAATTTTCCTAAAATAGAACTTCGTATTTTAGGGAACAATTTCAAATTCAAATTGATTTGAATATGAATTAAATGGGTTACCTAAAATATAAAGGCCAAATTAGGAAGGGCTTTGATTGCATGCTTTGATGGGGGATTCAAGGGGGGCTGGCGGCTAAGGCTTGGATGTGGGCATGCGGCTTAAGGTGGTAGGGTAGGAAATCGGTGGTGTTGAGGGTGGTGGGGTGTTGGCCGAGAGGGGAGGGGAAGGGGCTTGGAGCTTGTGGTGGCCGGCTGCTAGGAAGAGAGGGAGAAAGAGGAAATGAAAAGATAGGGAAGAACGAGTCACAAACCCAGATACTTCCAAGGTTGGTAGGTGATCCAATTCCCTCTCTTAGGGATTTCTCTCCAAAGCTCTCAAACTCTCACACAAACATAAGATTGTAAGAATTTTCAGTATCATTCATTCATTAGTGCTCTCAAAGGAGAGGAGGGACTTAAATAGTCCAATACATTATGGGAAAACAAAAGACAACATTGTCCCAAGGGCTTCCATATGACAAGACCCTAAAGTAAGGTTAAACAAGAAATGCTAATAAAACAAATACATAATGCAAACAAATAAAAAAAATACATATGATGAATCAAAAATAGATTGGCGCAATCGTGACCATAGTTCGTCGGCCACGTCTCTGATATACTTTCCATGACCTGATGTCCCCATCAGTCTCTCAATCCATTCTTCCTATTTTTTGCAAAATATCGAATAACATTCTCCTTCTTGCGACACTCAACTTTGTTGCAGCTATTGCCAATTAGTGACTTTTTTATTGCCTAAGTTCTTCTATTACCAAACTTTACCCCTTTTTCAGTGTATTTCAGACCTAATAGCTCTACCAAAAATAATAGTGTAACTAGGAATACAAAAAAAATGCATGACAGGTTGATAAAATGTGTAGATTGAAAGCCTTAGGGAGAGAATATAGAGAATTGAATTTAATAAAATGGTTGCCTAAACTTTTTGTTTCACCAAAGGACAATTAAATGAAATAAATTGCAATTCTAATTTAAAATATAAATAAACATCAAAACTCACCAATCGTATGATATGGCAATGGAAGGGACACCATTCAAAAAAGCCTCACGTGCACCAGCAACAGTACCGGAGTATACACTGAATAGCAATAACAGAAATGCCCGATAAAATTAGTGCCAAAAGCCTTCCATGTACAAGTTATAGATACATCCAGTCCACAAATTTTTTTTTTTTTTACCTTTTAGCACTTGAAAGGTTTTTTTTTTGTTCTGGGGGTGGAAGCAGTGTATATCTCAAAATAAAATTGAAGAATTTTTTACATACATAAGAAAGAGAATGTACTTGTAGACCAAAAGCTGTCTAGAAAGGCAAAGAAGATAGCTAGGCTGTGTTATTGTAATGAAATAGGGGGAATATCAAAGTGTGTTCGTCCCATTTTGAAACAAGATAGGAGTAGCAACTCCAGATCACATTTTGGTTAAACAATATGAAAATATCTTATTTTACCTTAATTTGTCGGCTAGTCTCAGGCATTAATAGTAAAATAGATGGGATTAAAACCGCAACAGAGCATGTTTTCAAGAAAAATTGGCACTGTCCGCAAAGGTGGAATAGCCACTCGTAATAGTCTGCTTATTCTTAGGAAGAGCAAATCAAATCATGTTGCTGGCTGAGTGTTTAGCTATATGCGGAAGTTTCTACACAGGCTTTCGCTTTACCAAATGATGCCTAAATAAATAAAGAAATAGATGCTGAGGTTTAAAAATTAACAAAAGCGCCTGATATGCCGTACTGTAAGACAACAAAAAAACAAATCTCAAAAGAATACACGTTATGATAAGTTTTCAAAAGATTTAAACATATGGATATCACAACTAATACGCTCAAATGGAAAGGTATATCCAGTTAAGGTTCACAATTTATGCATGAATAACAGTTGCCTCACAAAGAGATGTTTTGCAAGTTAACGAATGCTCACAGATCTATTAGACCATGACCACTTGGTCTTCATTGGTGGCGTGTAAAAGTTGATATTGTGTATCATACCAACCTTCTTAATTATTCCAGAAAAACCAAGATAGTATAATCATGTTTCACACCCCCGTGTTATAAGAGTAAAATCATCACATGCAGCACATTCAATCACTTCAAAATGTGATCAGAACTCGCACCATTACAACCTTGCTGGCGTAACAAGATATATAGTTAGAGTGCAAGACATCAGGTGTTTAGGACCACGTATCAAGATAGGAAAAAAAAATCTCTATTATCTAGAGTTGTTTCTCTTAAAAGTTTAGAGTATGAATGGTGAAAGTAAAAGCAAAACAATGTGATAACTGACACGTGATATCCGCAGTTGTTTCCAATGTTGACGCCACTGACTACCTACATCATTTAAAAGATTATAGTAGTCACTTATCAGCAGCAAAAAGAAACCCAAAACAGTCAGACTCGTATTCATATCAAAATAAGTTTTACCAGGTCAGGAACTAAACCAGAAAAAAGCACTCCAGAGATTCCTAGAGAAGCACAATCTGAAGGTGTCCCTGTAAAGTGTAGCAGAAAATATTAACTAAAGCAGTCAATGATCCAGCTTGGTAAGACAAGAGGCCTTCCTTTACATTACACTATCAAAATGCGAAGATATAAACATAGAAATGAAAAAACTAGACGACCAAGATGGCCTCCAAAATTTCTTGGTAAGCTCATTTTAGACCCAGATTTTTCTAGGTGTTCAATTTAATCCATCAAATCAAATATTAACCAATTTGGTCATACCATCAACATTATCATTTACCTGGATGAAAATTGAAGGAAGCTTTCTATGAGAGCGTTTAGACTTTTCAATATCAATCAAATTAATTTCAGCTAATATTAAGTAGTGAGATTCACCCTAAGAAGTCAAAATAACCTCATGGAAATGGTTCTTTCCACCTATTTTTATCTTAAAAATAGTGAAGTTAACAATAGGACCAAACTTGTTCAAATTTGGAGAGTTGAGAAGTGAATTAAATCCCTGAAAATTTTTAGGACTAAAATGAACCTACTAAAAAATCTAGGAATAACTTTAATCATTTACTCAAATTGAAATCTTGTCAATGACTTTAATATAATTACAGGATCAAGGCTAGGCAAAGGTGTGGATGATATATCTATGGAGTGATTGATGAGGTCAAGACAAAGTCAATAACACTTCTACTTCTCGTAATTAGGCAACAAAAAGAAAGGTCGTCAGTTTAAAAAGTACAGGGTGAAAGAAAAAAAAAATTCACATCATCATGTAAAAATTAGAAATGGCAAATAATAGTCAAACCATACAAGAAACCTCACGTGCAACAAAGACATCACAATTTCCCTATACATTTTATACGGAAAACTGAAAAAAAAAAAAAAAAAAAAAAAAAAAAAAAAAAAGTATAACACATAGGCAGCACAAATTTTCCTTACACAAACGCTGAAAAAATGGGTCACGAATCACAAATTGCTTATGAAAGTCTCAGTAGCTCAAGTTTGCATAATTGTAGGTGAAAGTATGTCAAATTGACAAAGTGAACCCTACTTTACCATCCATCCCTATTACTTCAATCCACGAAAATCATTGACAAAATATGAAGGACTAAGTTTCAGCCAAAAAAATAAGATTTTAAGGTTGATTTTTTAGTAAAATATCTTTTAAATTAGTTGGTTATTACCGTTTAGCTTCTAGGCTGGTTGGTTCTAGGTGTTTAATAAGAGTTCAAACGAAGAGATTTCAAGTACAAGTCAAGTCCATTATCCATATGCATGCAGTGAAAATGGGCCACTTGTGTTTATTCACTGTGGCGGTCTCTGAAAGCGCATTTGAGCTCAAATTGATCCTCCTCATACATGTTCAAAGTTTCAAGAAAGAACATAGAGGTACGTGGAGTTTCAAAGATAGATTAGAAGAGGTCTTAGAGATTTCTCCAAAATAGAAAGCGAGTTGGCGAGGATTACTTCAATTTTGAGTGATCAGTTTTTCCCATAGGAACAAACCCTCATGATTATTAGGCCTGAGGTTGAAGAATACACCAACTGTGCTCTGCAAGGTAGTCAGGAGTTCAATGTTTTAAACAAATTGCAAATGTGAGCAAAAGATATATGAGATTAAAAATCAGGTGATAAGATAATGGTTTGTCTAAATCAATGATTCATCTAAGCCTTAATGTTTTCCCAAAAAAATATGCAACAACAGAGTAATATTTAAATATGTGATTCCCAATAAGGTTTCAAATTAAACCAACAAATAAATCATAATAATAAAATTTGACATAATCACATAAATAACATGTATGGACATGACTAGCAATTAAATATAACCTCCAAGCTAGTTAAATGTTATACCCACATGAACAATCCTTCAATAGTTAATAGGAAGAAAAGGTACCTGAAACTGCAAATGCTGAAGCTCCCTTAATTTCAACTTGCTTTGCACAAACAGCACGGCGCCAAGTGATGCTATGACTTACACCTGAATTGTCTCTACAAATGGTTTAAGGAAGACAACAATAATAAGTGCTCTAAATTTTTTAGCAAATTTAGTGTCATCTTTTTGTATAGCATTTCACTAAAAAAATAGATGACAAATCAAAAATAGGTCAAACTTCAATAAAGGCAAAGTCACTTGTATATAACTTAAATGATAACTAAATAAAAAATATCCACAAGTATTGTTGATAAAAGTCGCTTATGACTTCGTTGTTTCCCCGCATACAACTTCACCTTAATGTAATTGAGACTAATGGAGCAAGCAAATTAATTTATACGAAATATCTTAGCATGCAGTGATGGGGACATCAGCAGCGATTTCGACACATGTACCTTCAGGAGATGCCGGAGATCGACGACCACGATCATGATCTGTATTTTCATCATTTTATGTAGTAGTTTATTTTTATTTTATGTTTTTCCATTTTTTCCCTCATGGGTATTTGGTAGCTATTGTAGCCCAATGGGCATTTTAGTCTTTTGTTTTCTTTGTCATTTTGAGTCCTATTTATATGGTCATTTTCTTATGTAATAGCTAGTTTTGATGAAATGAAAATTTGCTCTTTGTTCTCTTTGTGAGTTCATGAAACCTCTAAAGATCTCTTTGTGAGTTCTTGAAGAGGAGACCGTCGGAGATCTCTTTGTGAGTTCTACTGGTGGATTGGTGTTGAGACCGTCGGAGATCTCATTGTGAGTTCTACCGTGGATTGGTGTTCAAGGTTTTTCATTTGAAATTTCTTTGTTTTTCTTCCCAATCTTTTCTTCCCCCACTTAGCCGAAATCCCCTTCTTTTTTTTTTTTAATTCCCCACCACCACCCAAGCTCCACCGCCGGCCTCCCTTGGCCGGCCCAGCCACCGGCGGCCTTCCCCGCAACCAAGAAGCCGGCTGTCCCACCCTTCTGCTCCCACAGCCGAACCCGCGTCTGCCCACCAGTAACCTGTTTCAAAAATTGAACTTCAATGCAAAACCCTTAATTCCTTTCCTATTCTACATCCCCACCAATTAGGAAAGATGTCCTCTTGATTACTTCTCTTCTTGTAACGGTAAAATCCAACGTTACTAGAGGCATCAATCTATTTAGGAACTTTCCTAGTAGAGCAAAGCTGAAGAATTAATTCTCAGATTTTTATTATTCTGTGAGTTCTCTAGAGGGCCCACATAAATAAATCTAATTGCTCTCTCAGCTCTCCTTTGGCCGGCCACCTCTCTCCCTTCTCTCTCCATTTAATTGCACCACTAATTGCAATTAATCCCCTAATTCAAATTTTGGGTTTGAATTAATTCCTTTTGGGATAAAATCTGAAATTAATTCAGATTTTAATCCTAAACCTAATCACCCCCGTCTGCCCTCTTCATCCTAGCCGACCACCTCCCCTCCTCTCTCGGATGCTCCATCAACTCCCGACAAGAATGCATGGCGGAACCCGAATGGAACTTTGGGTTTGTGCATGCAATCAAGATCAAGTTGACATCCTCCAATCACCGTTCTTTGATGTGGGCTTTGATTTCGACGACACGATTGAAGATTACATCGACCGTATCCAGTACACCTTAGTAGATGTGATCGACGAGCAAAGACCAAAGGGACGTTGGATCATCATTGGACGGCCGTCATCCTCCACCACTCCGGCCACCTATCCAAGAACGATGATCTTAGGCTCCTTCTTCCTCGGAGTGACCTCGGTTCTAATGTGGAGACTCTTCTTCCGCTAAAGCCTAGACTAGTTGAGCGTATGGGCTCCAAAGGTGAAAGTTCTCATTATTAAATCGTGGACTCTTGTTTATCATCGTAGTTTTACAATTACTCTTTGTGTTTCTTGAATTGTTTGGTTGATTGATTTCACTCTTCTATGCCTAAGCAAGTTAAAAACCGAGAACTCTAAGGATCTATCTTTTGTTATAAGTGATCATTTTATTTTGGATTATTTTGTAAAATTTGCTCTCTTTAATTTCCTTAAAGTAACTCCACCATGTTTGTTTCACATCATGCAGTCTCCCAACAATTCTCTTTATCTCTTTATAAAGCACAATTGTCCATGCAAATGGAACATAATATTTCAAATTTAAAACATTTAAATCCTATGTATGCTTGTATGTACATAAAAATTAACCTATTAGAGAAACATGGGCGTTTTGAATCAAATAATCAAATTTGCAAATTTTAAGATTTATAAACTATAAAAGCAAAAAGAAAAAATAATGGCAGTTTCTAAGTTTCGAAAGGGAGCCATTCAGCCAAGTGAGCCAACTTTAATGGCAATACAAAAACAAACAACCTTGTTGCCCAGAATTTGAGATATTTTATCATGCAATATGCACTAGAACATGTGAGCAGCCTCACTAAAGGGCCTTCATGATCCATAGAGTACTCGAGCATGCAGACAACATACAATTTCCAATATACCGACATTTCTTATCCCTCTAAATGTTTTACCCCGCCCATACTGGCCATTAACAAGTCCATTAGTTGCAACTAATGATGGTAAGAAACAACCTAAAACAACTACATAACTATTTTTCTCCTTCCATTCTTTACTCACTTTTTTTCCCTCATCTCTTCTTTCTCAACATGTCCACTAATATTACTAAAATTCTCCAGAGCCCAAACTTATAGTAGCAATACGACCATCTAAATCCTTTCTTCCACTCTACTCCTTCCTTCATTTTCATCATAGAACAAAACCACCAACTCATTTTCATTCCTACCTTAATCCATACAAAGATATTACAGATATATGCCTTAATCTTCAACAATTAAATATCATAAACCATATAATAGAAATCCCGACAACGTGGCAGATGCCAAAAGATCATAAAAAACGTGGTAAACAGCAAAACGACAGGACCATTGAGGATGCTCGGAGCATCTCATGAACAATCACTCACAACATTCTAAAGTAAAATCTCCAATCGGTAAAACACATTAAAGCGATTTTAGAAAACTAAGAAAGGATAAGAAAAATGAAGGAGACGGGACTCACACATCGGGTGCACAGACGAGAACGCGATATCGATTGGCGGCGACGAGGAGCTGTACGAGGTGTTGCAGGCCCAAGGCATCGATCCCATCGTCGTTTGTCACCAGCACTGTCGGCCGGCCAGTGGCTTCGGCTTCCGCGTACGATCCTGCTTCCATCCGCTCCGGCTACCCGCGCAACCCCACAGAACTTGATTCCCGCTTCACCGAAGCAAACAGCACTTGACCAAAAGGAGCTGGTTCGCCCAACCTGCCCTGCGTGACAGCAATAAACGACCAGAGCTTCGACAGCTGGAACCGCCCTCTTGTCGTTTTGCTAAGCGAAGTCCTCAATTGCCAGGACAATCAGGCTGTCCAAAATTTTTTTTTTAGTTTGATGGAAATTTCTGTCATTTTTTAACTTCCAATGCATTAGGCCTCTCCAGATAAATTCATTTTGGACTGTTTTTTTTTTTTTTTACTATTTTTTAAAAGCATTATTTTATATAAAATTTTAAATTTTATACACTAAAAATTTATTTTAAGAAGAAGTAAAAAATTTGACCTAAGCGAAGCCTAAGTGTAGAGTTCGGAGCCACGTGGCTTGATTTTATTAGAATTTGAATGCGGGCTATGTCCGAACTCTGCACGTAATAATTTTTCGATCTTTCCATCAATGTGCTCGGTGGAGTCGCATCCCAATATGCATTTTTTTAATTTTTTGAAAAATCCAATATGCAATGTCACTAGCATAGATGTACACTTGAGGTTACTAAGTCATCACCATTAATTTTATATTTGTTGAATATTAAAAATTTTAACAATAGAGTTTATCATATTAATTTTCTATATATATCATACCCATGCATATACATCATTGTTTTTTTGTGAAAATATGAAAAGATAAAAAAGCATGAGGTCTAGTCAAATTGAAATGATTTTACTAGTGTATATCATGGATCATGGGCGGAACCGTATGGTTCCTAGTGGAGAGTTAAAAAAAAAAATTATAGGAGAGTAAAAAAATTTTTTGCCCATCCTAAAAAATTATTTTTGCCCCCCCTAAAATTTTTTTTGTCCTAACTTGCTCTAAATATCTATATATTTCTTCACATTTAATTCTAATATTCTCTTTCATGATTTTTATGACAGTTTCCCCCCACCCTAAAAATTGAAGCTGGTTCCGCCCCTGGACTGTATATTGTAGGTCATATATGATAGTCATCTATGCAATTAGAGAAGCATTAATATAATATAATTGGCATGAACAATGAATGATGACTTCCATTGTGTGAGTTGGATGACCATTGAGGCATTGGAAAAATCTTTGAGAGATTTTTGGCAATATGTTCAATTGTTCTCCTTAGAGGAGAAGAGATCAAAGATACAAAAGTTTAGCACAAGTCTTGATGTTGATATTATGTGTCGGTGTTGGTAGTGATGACAGGAATCGAGATTGATATTGGTGATAGATATCTATCATGTTAGTGATTTTGTGTGTCAATATTGACATCAACAAGCAATAAAATCACCAATATTGTTGGTGAGCATTGGCATTTTTGTCGATGTAGTGCATCAATCTGATTGGCATACATTCAACAATATTGTTGGTGATGATAGGCTATGAAGTTAATGAGCGTTTATGTATAACATTGTGGTACAAAATGTGATGGCAATCAAGGGACAAACGATGATGGTCAAGTCATAGCAATCAAGCGGTGTTCACCGGGTGATGGTAATTCTTAGCAATGATCACTGACGTTGATAATCGAACAGTTACTAAACTTCTTCGACTCTCTAAGCTCTTTCCCATTTTAGGCAAAAATCTCAATGTGAGGAATGAAATTTTTTTTTAATAATTTAGCATTTTTATATATTTAACAAAAAAACACTCCAACTGCCATATTGATTCATTTGATCATATTTTATTTGTTGGCATTTAAATGCATTAATGACCTAAAACATTAGTGATATTTGGCTCATTACATTCTTCTTATTGAGAAGCTTATTTTGATTATAAGCACACAAGATTTGAAGATTATTTAGTTTCATAAATAGTGTCATGAAGTTTTTAACAATGCTTCAAGTGCTTGAATTAAGCTCAATTGGATTTAAATCAGGACACATATGATGCCATTAGATTCATCTCTTTGAAACCTTCAATTTGACTATAAGTTTGCTTAAACCAAAGTTAGTATGGCCTTCAATTTAATTCCAAAAGTTGTTAAGTCAAATAATGTATTGAGATTCATGCTTGTTTTGATGTAGTAGTTAGGTGTAATCATTAGTGACAGTCATTGAACAGGATTATGAGCTTCTTCAAATATCTAAGCTCTCTTTCATTTTAGGTCAATGTTACCTTCATGTGATGAATAGAAGTCCACTTATAATTTCTATAAGTATCATTTTGATAAATTTAGCCAAATCTTTGAAAACCCTATCCAACATCTCATGTTGATTTCTTTTATTATAGACTTCATCATTTGAGAGATTTACTGGCCTCATATTTGAGGGATCTCAGGCTCATTGGATTCTTCTCATTAAGGAGCTCGTTTTAACCATATGCGTACAAGCTTTTGGAAATCCTATAATCCTTCAAATGTTATCAAAAAGTTTCTAATTAAGATTTCAATTGACCTAGGCTCATTTTGACTTTTAGTGTCTATGGATTTGTCTTAGCTATAAATTTACTTAAATTGGAGCAAATATGGCCCTTAATTTAATCGCAAAAGCTTCTAATTTAAATAGTACATCTACATTCATGTTTGATCTGATGAATTTTCTAGTGATATGTCAATCTTTATTATTTAAAATATGTATGAGCCCTTATTATATATAAGGTTATCAAAAATATTTTAAAAAATTATTTTTCTTCTTTATTTCAATGAATTTCTTAGTATTTCTCTTTATTTTAATTATTTTATTAAACTCAACCTCAATTAATTATGCAAGCTCAAGCACAAGATTAAGGTGGCTTGTTCTTCATTAACTCATTTACACAAATATTTGATACCATATTCAATTATTTTATCTTCAATATTCTAATCATTCCTCTAATATAATCATGTGTTGATTTATCCTTCCTAATTTTTCTATGGGAAATTTTTTGAACTAAACCTCGTTTCAATTTTAATTAAATGTTTAACCATCACAAAAAATAAAAAATAAAAAATAAGATTGCCAAATTCGTCCGTTAAACAGGCGACTTAAAACTTAATGTAAGTCGCCCGTTAAACCCCCCATTTCCCCTGCCCTAAACAGGCGACTTAAAACTTAAAAAATAAGCCCGCAAAATCTCTCTGTTCGACTCCGTCCAGTTCGACAAAATAGGTAAATTTTTTTATTTTAATTTTTGTTGTTGCTACTCTTATCCTTTTGTGCGATGCTTAAGTTTTTTTTATTATTATTATTCTCATCTAGAATGCTTAAGTTTTTTTAATTATAATTAAAATAATTAATAACTGGAATGCTTAAATTGGGTGATTATTTGTGCAAATTTAGGGTTCATTCAGTTGTTAGGCTTAAGGTGAGAAATTTGTAATTTACATATAGTTCATTCAATTGCAAGTTTAGGGCAAAATCTTCTTTTGTTCTTTGATCTATCTGTAGCTTGATACAGTTGTAGAAATTTGTGATTTATAAAAAATTATAAATGTAATTTTGTTGGTGAATGAAATATTTTTAAAAGTAGTTTTCTTAGAAAAATTTATTTATAATTAGTTTTGTAAAATTGTTTTAAAAGTATTAATTCTTTTAGATAGTTGTCTTTAGACAATAAGTATTCACCAACTTATGTTGGGGGTAGTTATTGTCGATCCGTTGCAAGTGCTAGTTTAGACGAACTTAGACCAACTGAAGATTAAGGGTCTATTTATAATTTTATGTGAGTGGCATGGCCAGTAAATAAGAGGATGATCAAAAGTAAATTGGGAGTGCTTTGAATGGACGACCGATGTTGAATCTCTTGATTGTAGATTGTTTATTAGACATTTCAATGCCTTAGTGACGTCAAAATGCGACTAGCTTGGGCTCGTTGGATTCGTCTCGTCGAGTTGCTCTATTCGACTATAAGCATGTCACGTTTGGAAAACGTTTGGGACTCCAAATTATGGTTTGACCCTTCCAAATATGCATTGGGTCTTCAATTTGGACCCATATGGTCTCAGATTAAGTCGAGTTTGGTGTCGTTAGGTTCGTATTTTTGAGACGTTCAGTTCGACCGTAAGTTTGTTGAAATTAGAGTTCATATAATCTCCGGTTTAATTTTTGAAGTTTCTAACTTAATTTTGTTTTGAGATTCGTGCCCGATCAATATAATTTATTGATGATATATCAATTTCTCCCCTACTTTCGGATGTCAAAGCTCTAAAATGTTGAAAATGCATATCATATTTTTGGGGAATTTTTGGACGCAATTTGTCATTCCAAAATATTTCGAAGTCCGCGAAATTGCTTAGAAAGGCTTTGTTGAGCTTTAAAAGTATCAAAATTTAATCTGGAACATTGAAAACGTTTATGAGGACTCTAAAAATATTTGATTTGAACTGTCCGGTCAAAAATTTGGGCCCGAACAGGAATGGATGGCCGAACAGGCCGGCCGGACGGCTGAATAGGCGCACCCCATAGGGGCGCTCAGATATGATTACAAAAATTTTAATTATGCTGGCCTCACCCGCTTTTTTTAAATTGTTTTAAGGAGGGGGCAGCGGCTACAGGCTACAGGCTACAGCAGCCCCTCTTAACTTTTTTTAATATAATTTTTAGATTTTTTTTTTCAAAAAAAAAATAATTCCGAAAATTGCATGTGAGGGGCCAAAAATTTTAGAAGAATTTTTTAAAAATTTTAAACTATTTTGAAGGCAAAATTCCCACAAAATTTCAAATAATTTTCCTCCCTTTCGTCCTATAAATACCCCATTTGGGGTAGGGGATTAATTGCACATTTCTCTCTTCTCCCTTATCCCTTCTCCCTCTAATTTTCTTACAGTTGAGGCCTTCTACTATATATTTTTTGTAGGTGACATCCTCTAATCAAATTTAATGTCCCTCTCTTATGTAGAAATTAGAATTTTGGCTTTTTCCTTCCTTTTATTCCCCACTTTTCCTTTTACTTTAGAGGCTTTCCATTATTTTTCGTAGGTGGCATTCCCTACCCAAATTTAATTCTCGTCTTTAGTGTAGAATGAATTGTCTCCTCCTTACACTTCCTTCTCCTTTGATTTTCCTTTTACATTAAAGACATTCCACTATCTGAGATAGGAGACATTCCCAACC